GCAAAAAAAAAAAAAAAACAGTCAGAGAAAGGGAAAGTACCAGAAAATGTATCAGATTCTCTAGCAGAAAGCATTAAGTCCACAGACTTCAAAGCATCAGCACAGAGTCCCTGAATTTGAGGGCCCAACGAAAGCCTGTTCACAATACCACGGGCCATCTTTACTGGCAAGCCCGTGAGAGGGCCCACTTCTTGTTCGAGCTTCTTCACTGCTTCATCAATGCTTACACGAAGATTCTGGTATAGTTTAGTACCATCGAGAATCTTTTGGGCTAAACACAGCCTATAGCACAATATGTCTACCCGCCTCGTGTCCCTTGCCACAATCAGTTGCTTCCTCCAAGAACTGCAATATTTTTATCATGATAAAATAAATGGCCAAAAATCGAGACGAATTGAAGATAGGCAAAACGCAATGAAATACCACTTAAAAAGTCCCATACACCGAAAAAAGCATATTATTGAACACATTACACCTCTCAACTATTATCTTAAAGCCTTTTCTCTACCACTATACATCATTTTTACGTCACTCATTACATAAAATGCAAAAAAAATGTTCTAAACATGCAACAATAGTCTTATAATGTAATACCCAAAAAAATGTGCACCAGAGAAAGAACAAAGTAAATAAATAAAAAAAACAGTCAACTTACCCAAGCAAATCATTCACTTTCCCACAAGATGCGCAACAAAAGCTTCCATCTAATGACAAACCTTTTGAATTTTTATGCCGCAAAGCACATTCAAGATGGCACGATAACCCACAAGACACAGAACAGAAAGGAGACTCCGAATTGCAAACCAACCAAAGGCTCGGGTCCTTATTATCATCATACTCACTACAAATGCAGCACGAACACCTCTTGCAAAATGCATCCTCACGGCTCATTTTAGCCCGGCAAGCCGAATTCTTGCAATAATGCACGGTGATGTTATCTGGGCCCACATTCATGGTCTCGTCGTTTTCTGACAGAGGCTGTTGTATTTGAGGAGCAGTTGAATCTCTTTTCTTTTCTTGGATGATTTTGAGAAGTTGTTCGATTATTTTGGTTTTGTTTAGGCCGGTGTACTTTCGTTCTTTGCCGAGCTCGGCACAGAGAATCTGCAGTATATCGTGTCGGCTCCAAGTGTGTAGAATTTCGATGGCTCCATCTGACCACTTTGAGAGTTCATGAACGAGTTCTCGCTTTTGATCTATGCTCAACTTGCTGCATTTTGATGGGTCGAATAGCACTAGCGTGTACAAAAGAGAAAAGGGGAGAAACAAAAAATTAAGTATACCGACAAAAACTATATAGCACTCGCCACTCGGCAATAAATTATTAACTGTTTACACGTTTAAATGATAGATTTATTATTTAAAACAACAGCATGACAGGAAACAAAACAAGCTAGTGTTGAGATATCTCTATATGGTTACGATTTAGATGCTAACAGAGTAAAAAACCAGCTTAGCTACATCAAAAAAACATTCGTCTAATCCACATGATCAACATGAAGAAAATTAAGACAGTCGATACTTATACAAACAGTAAAACTACTCCACACCAAAAAAAAAACCAAAAACGGAAAGAAAATCAAGACTATGGAAGGGCACACTGAATCGAAGTCAAAACAGCTCATTGACAGGCATTGATTTGGAGGACACAAAGTTATTTTACAATACAGGGAAGCAACAGATACTCATAACCGAGAAGAAAGAACGTTCTAAGCCGAAAGAGAAAATATAACATTAACCGAATATTATTCGAACAAAGTACTTCAACCATCACACAGCTAACCATCCTCACAAGTCCATGAGAATCAAATTGATGACATCAAGTAAAAAACGAGATCTTGAATTGAAACCCATTACATTGTTCACCTTTTTTTCTCACAAGCATCTTTGAAAACAAACAATGGAGCATTAAAATAATAATAATAATAATAATAATAATAATAATTAGAGTGTGTGCGTGAGTGCGTGCCAATTCCATCGAACAAAAGAAAACAAATGCAACAGTGACGATCAATTTCAACAGACAACCAAATCAAGAGAGAATCAGAACACACAAAAACAAATCGACTAAAATCGAACATCCCATGATTCTCAAAATCCCATAAAACAAGAAAATAAGAATAAAAATCAAATCTTTTTTTTCACATCAACGTCGTGAAAACAAGAACAATCGTTCAAACAAAAGCTTAAGAACAACAACCCATAAGAGGAATTTACAAAAAATTGAAAAAAGATTCAATCTTTACCCTCTAAACAAGAAGCATCCATGGCTATTGTTCGTATTTTTTTAATTTTTTTTTTAATTTTTTTTTTTTTCAGCAGCAAAAGATAAAGCCCTCACTAGCTCCAAGAACCCATTTCCCCTTCACATGAAAGACAATTTTTTTCAACCTCCCAAATACTTGAAGATAGAGAACTCAATAAAATTTACATACAAATACAGTAGTATATTGGAGGAAGAGGGAGGGTAGAGAGAGAAAATACAAGTACCAAGAAGGTAAAAAATCCATGAAAGATGGGTCTTTTAACGTGGGTTTGCACAACCCATAGCCAACTTTAATTTACAAAATTTATATCTGCCTGGGTTTGTGAGGGGTCTATGAGAGAGAGAGGGGCAGTTGAGACTTGAGAAGAGATTATATTATATCAAAAGAAAAGGGTAAGAAAATGAATAAAAAAAATGAATATATGAGGCTAATCAACAGAGAAATGAAAAGCGGCTGATTATTAAAAGAACTCAATTTTTTATATATGACGCTAATCCGGCTCGATTCCGGATTAGTCGGTTCCCCTGTGAATCCGGAAACCGAAAGGTCCCTGTACCAAAAAAAAGAATCCAATTTTCTATTTTTTATTTTTTAACATTTTTTCTTGTCATGGGCATGACAATCTCAGAAATTCTATGGCATCACATGTGGCACCATATTATGGTGCCACAACATAATGTGGCACATTATGATTGATTTAGTTGTGACACCAATCATAATGTGCCACATCATGTTGTGGCACCATAATATGGTGCCACATATGGTGCTATAGAATTTCTGATGACAAACTACAGTTGCAAATTATTGCATTGTTGTTTGTTTACCATGCACTAATCAAACTAATTTTGGATACAAATCGTTCAAATATACCCATTCGGCGTGTTTGGATACAAATATATCAACCTAAAACAAGTTTTTTTTTTTTATTAACTAGAATTAATTTTGGACAATGTTGTATAATTTGTTGTTATTGGGATTTTGGATTATATTAAAATAAAATAACTAAAGTTGATTTGATTTAAAAGTATGAAAGAGGTGATATGAAATGATTTTTAATTAAAGTTATGTGTGTGAATAAATACTGAAATAAAGTTGATATGATATTAAAAAAAATTGGTTGATATTAATTATATTGATAATATTGATGATAGTGGAGTTAAATTAAAATTGAGTTATATTTCGAGTATAAATTGAAAAAAATTGTAAACAAACACCCAATAACATTTTGAACTTGGTCAATTTATTTCCTAACATCCTTAATCAAATGATTGCATTAATCTTAGGGTTAGAATTTAATGAATAACCTTTTCAATATTTGACTAATTTTTATATGGATTTTCCCAAAAAAAAAA